ATCTGGAAGTCTGGTTTTGAGACTTATTTATGTGTTTTCTCATTTTGACTGGGGCAGGGGGCTGTTAGCGCCTGCTTGGATTACCTCCTCTGAGCTGGGTGAGGTGGGACAGGGGCCGTGAGCAGTGGTAGGGATGGTGACCCAAAAGCCCTTTCCTCTGGGCTGGGAGCAACTGGAGGGATGGTGGCCTGGAATCCCCTTTCTCTGGACCAGGAGCAGTGGGATGGCAGCTCAGAAGCCCCTACCTCTGGCCCGGGAGCAGTGGGAGGGATGGTGGCCTGGAAGCCCCTTCCTCTGGGCCAGGAGCAGCAGGACAGAAGGTGACCCAAAAGCCCTTTCCTCTGGGCTGGGAGCAGCAGGAGGTATGGTGACCAGGAAGCCCCTTCCTCTGGACCAGGAGCAGTGGGATGGCAGCTCAGAAGCCCCTACCTCTAGCCCGGGAGCAGTGGGAGGGATGGTGGCCTGGAAGCCCCTTCCCCTGGGCCAGGAGCAGCGGGACAGAAGGTGGCCCAAAAGCCCTTTCCTCTGGGCTGGGAGCAGCAGGAGGTATGGTGACCAGGAAGCCCCTTCCTCTGGACCAGGAGCGGCGGGATGACAGCTCAGAAGCCCCTACCACTGGGCCGGGAACAGTGGGACTCAGTATCTTGGTCTGGTGGTCTGGTGTCCTCTGCGCCTTGGTAATGTGGAATCAGGTCGCTGCCTGTCTGCAGTGGGGTGATTCGGTGTCTTCCGCGTGACTCAGGACCTCAGTAGGGTGTCCACAGACCTTCCTGTGTGCAGCGGGCTGATTCGGGGCTTTCGGCACCTCAGTAGGCCGTGGGCAGACCTGCCTGTCCAGGACCTCAGTAGGGTGTCCACAGACCTTCCTGTGTGCAGCGGGCTGATTCGGGGCTTTCGGCACCTCAGTAGGCCGTGGGCAGACCTGCCTGTCTGTAGCGGGCTGATTCGGTGTGTTCTGCGTGACCCAGGACCTCGGTAAGGCGTGCGCAGACCTACCTGTCTGCAGCGGGTTGATTCAGCATGTTCTGTGCGACTCAGGACCTCAGTAGGGCATGGGCAGACCTGCCTGTCTGCAGTGGGCTGATTCCTGTTTTTACTTTTTATTTTTGGCAGTACTAGGGAATTGAACCTAGGACCTAGGACCTTTGCACTAAACTACACCCCAACCTCTTTCTTTCTTATTTTGAGACCTGTCTCCCTAAATTGTCCAAGCTAGGCTTGAATTTTATATCTTCTTGCCTCAGCTTCCCTGTACTGGGATTACAGACTTGTGCCACTACACCTGGCCATTGGTTTTCTTTGATGAGTTTCTGTGAGATAGAAAAGACAAATCATATTACAGAGACTATGGGAAGAAAAACTATTAAGAAAGCACAGGGTGAGTTTACAGAGCACATTTGAAAATTTTAATGAAATGGTGTGCAAGTTGAAAAGAGAAGAAGGATCACATAAATGTATTAGTAAACCTAGATAATAGCATAGTAATTATAAAATTCTTGTAAAATATTTTTTAAACTTTTATGATATACCTTAAAATGCAATACATATAATACTTCATTATTAAATGGAAACATATAATAAAGGATGCCTCTTTCTATAAAACATTAGTAAAATAAATGAATTTTATGTCTTATTACAAAAGAAGCGTGAAATGGTACAAAGAAAAAGGAAGGCAGGCAGAAAAGACAAGAAAGAAGGGCCAGGAATTTAGCTCAGTGGTTTTGCCACCTGCTGCACAAAGGCAAGGACCCGAGTTCAATCCCTGGTACCAAAAAAAAAAAAGGACGGAAGGAAGGAAGGAGAAAGAGATGGAGTGTAATTTTTTTTTTTTTTTTTTTTTGCCGGGAATCAAACTTGGAACCGTGGACTTGCAAGGCAGGCAGTAGCACCACTGAGCTAAATCCCCAGCCTTCTTAGAAAAGTTTGGACTGAAGAAAAAAGGAAAGAAAAAATACACCCTATAGTGTAGGGTGGACCATCATAAAGAGGCACAATAGCCAGGATTAATCCTTTAATTTGAGTTTGTCTCTCAAGTTCAATATTGATTGTTACTGATCAAAACTAATATCTTAAGTGTTTAAAGTATGTGAAAATACCACTTATAATTATAGGTAGTATAGGGTTTGTTTTGTTTTGTTTTTTCAGACAAGGTCTCACTATGCAGTTCAGGCTGACCTTGAACTCACTCTGTAGCCCAGGCTGACCTTGAACTCCATATCATCCTCCTGCCGAATGCTGGGATTATAGGCGTGCACCACTCCCACAGTAGTGTAGTATTCAAATAATTTGGACTTTGCTGCACAGACTATAAAAGTTGTTGAGTTAATATTTATAAATCTTTTATTGATAGAAAGCAATGGATTATTTTGAATATTTAAATGAAGCATGAAACTTAAATGGCATGTTTTGTAATGTATCTTCATCTAGGTCATTGGAACTGCGTATTATCTCCATGACCATGAGATAAGGAAAGTGGATGTTGGCATTTTGCCGACTGAAGGACTGAGACACAGAATAGTCAAATGACTTTTCCACAAGAGAAAGGAGGCCAAGATTAGAACCTAAGTGCCCTGCCCTCCATCCTAGTGTTCTTCCTTATAAGTCCTGTCATAATAGGGAGGGGGAGAAGGAAGGAGAGAGCAAGAGTCTAGATCTGTGTTCTTTGCCAGATTTCCACTAGACCATCCTAAGTGTTAGTTCCAAGGGTCTTCTGTATGGCTCAATATATTTTTTAATACATTTAATTATACTACATTTTTAAAAAATCAGAAACCTCTCAAAATAAGCAGCTGGTTATGCTTGTTGATGATGAATATGGTTTTTATAAACTGGCAGGATAGTTAATGATGTTTTAAAATTCTTAATACTGCTTAAGAATTTCTTTTTTTTCTTTTTTTTTTTGGTACCGGGGATCGAATTCGGGTCCTTGCGCTTGTGTAGCAGGCATCAAAACCACTGAGCTAAATCCCCAGCCCAAGAATTTCTTAAAATTAGCATAATGAATTGTCTTATCTTGTGACCGTTATCATAAAAATTACTGTGACATTTAATACAATCTGGTTGTACTATAATAGAGCCAATAACCTAGTAAGACATGATGGCTCTTCAATCCACCCACATATTTTATTCTATAAATAGATTTCTTATACTAAATCTGGGAATTTTTCTTTATCTTTACTACTCTCTATTCTCAGATGGGATCAGAGTTCAGGTGTATTTTTAAAACATTAAGTACATCTTATAGAGATAATCTTTTCCCCCCCTAAATTTAGTAGTACTGGTAGTAGTAGTAGGAAACATTTTTAAATGTCTTTACATTTTTGAATGTGTATAACTCAGTGGAAGAGTATGTGCATAGTATGTGTAAGGCCTTGGGTTTAATTCCCAGCAACAGGAATACATAAAATATCTGTCCATTATTGAAGCTACCATTTGATTTACCAACAAATATTTGAGACAATTCTAAGAAAAGTATTAATAGTACATTAAACCTACAACAGGATCTCTTTAGGACAGTGGTAGAGAACCTGTGGTACACCTGCCACTGCAGGCTGTTTGTATCATTGAATGCTCTAAAAGGTTTGCCATCACTGCTTTAGGATTTCTGAATGTCCCAAAAGTGTTTAATGTGCATAATTTCTTTGCTTACTTCATGTCAGAAATACTTGTTCCATCATTTATCATGGGAAATTCTGCTATTCTTTTCTGCAAATACACAGGTGAATCTGTTCCAGAATACCAGATGGCTTTTCAGACAGAAGTTGGAAACCATCCCACTTTTGAGGATATGCAGGTTCTTGTGTCTAGGGAAAAACAGAGACCCAAGTTCCCAGAAGCCTGGAAAGAAAATAGCCTGGTAAGAAAAAACTACATTATTAAGAAGAGAACTTCTGATTGCATATATTTTAATGTTATTTGAAGCAAAAACAGACTGTTAATAGTGTTAATAGTATTTAGGGTTGCCTAATGCCAAAAATCTAACTTACTTAATTTTGATGATGTTTCATGTTTTCAATCCTACACACACACGCGCATGCACGCACGCACGCACAACACCCCGTACTGGGGATCTAACTCAGGACCTTGTGCTGGAGATGCAGGAATGGCATCAAAGTTTTTAATACAAAATAATTTCCTTTTTAGCTCAGTTTCAGTTTTTTCCAAATATAAAATACTATTTAGGGAAACTAATGATGTGTCTGAAGTTCTCCAGATTGGGTAACAGCTGGAATAATTGACATGTCAGAATTTTAAACATTATTGAAATTTGATCTTGAAATATTCTTTTTAATAATACCAAAAATGTTAACTAATGCAGGCTTACAGATTCAGTGGCTAATAAAAATTTAGGTTAGATCTAAAAGAAACCTGAGTACATCTTATAAATTCTGCTTACTAAAAATGTAGTTCACAGCCAGGCATGATACATGTGTATAACCCCAGCTACTCAAGAGACTAAGGCAGGGAGATCTCAAGTTTTCACTCAGCCTGCTCAACTTAGTGACTTAGTAAGATCCTGTCTCAAAATGTTAAAAAAGGACTGAGGAGAGCCCGGAATTTAGCTCAGTGGTTCCACCACCTGCCTCGCAAGCGCAAGGTCTTAAGTTCAATCCTCGGTACCAAAAAAAATAAAAATAAAAAAAGGACTGAGGAGGTACCTCAATTTGAAGGCCCCAGCTGGATTCAGTCCTTAGAATGAAAAGATTCATGGCATTTGAGGAAAATGTTACACCACTAAAAACAACTTACAAACATTTATATACTCACATATATTCACAAGATTGTTTTATATGAATAGGATCTTCTAATTATCCACTGTCACTTCTGAAATTTATTTTTTTAACTAATAGATAATTTTTTTTTTTTGGTACCAGAGATCCAACTCGGGTCCTTGCCCTTGCAAAGCAGGCAGCAGAACCACTGAGCTAAATTCCTGGCCCCATAGATAATTTTTAATGTTAATACTTATACATGGATCTCATTCCTTCCTTTTGGTCCATATTCTATTGTATAATATATATAAATAATTATTGTACTACAGGGAAGGGGTAATGGGACGTTGCCAGAGACCCCTGCAGTGGTCCTGGTCTCCTGCAAGCCAGAACAACATCCAAGAGATAGGAAAGTGAGAATTAAAAGAAGCACACAGAGACTTGAGAGAAACTGAGTCTTGGGCTGATCTAAGCTACTCTGGGTAGCAAAGGCAAAGGACTCCCAGGACATCCAGTGTTTATTCATTGCAAGTGTGGGAAGAGGGGAAACTGAGCAGGCCTTGGGACACCTGCTGATAACAAGTATCAAGCAGGCAGGACTAGAATGAGGGCACAAAGGATATCTTTGCTGAAGAAAACAAATGGTTAATTCAGAATGGGAGAATTTAGTTGGAGTCAGTTGACCTTGACTGGGAGTGAACTCAGCCAATCTCTGCTACTTCCAGTGTAACACAGCCAAATTATGGAGGAGCAAGAAGCTTGTGCCACTATAGCCTGTTAATACTGGGCAGAAGTGTCTGCTACATGGTATACTTTATTGATGAGAATACCCTGCATTTCTCTTTTAAAAGAATCAAAGTTATGCTTATACATGGTAAACAAAATTCAATAGGAGATCATAGAAAAGGAAATGGAAAAAACTGCCTTCCCCTATAACTCCTTTTGCAACCTTCTGAGGTTTCTTCCCCCTCTTGTAAAGATTTCTGTTTTAACCTCAAATAGTACACCTATTCTTGTCTCTTATTCTCGTTTACTCTCTTAGTTTTATACTCTTTCACCTATTATTAGATGATTTATATTTGTACTCAAATTTTTTAGGAGAGGGAGTGTCTCTGTAGTTTAGGCTGGCCTTGAACTCACAGCAATCCTCTTGCCTCCGCCTCCCAAGTGTTAGGATTATGGGCGTGTGCCACCACACCCAGCCTGTAATCTAAAATTTTAAATGATCTTCTTGTGGCTGTGCTGGAGGTGGCATCAATGCCTCATGCATGCTAGATGATTTGTAGAAAAATCCAAAAGAAGCAAGAAAAAACTCCTGGAAGTAATGAATATAGCAAGTATGAGGGTATGAGGTTACTATACAAAGTCAACCATTTTCCTATAAACCAACAATGAACAAGTGTAATTGGATATTTAAAAACTCAGTATCATTTATATTAGCACCCCATAAAATAAAATATTTACATATATATCTAGTAAAATATATATAAGGACAACTATATCTATCTATGGAAAACTATGAAACTAATGAAGGAAATCAAGCATGAACTAAATAAATGGAGAAATAGTCCATATTCATGGATAGGAAAACTATTGTTAAAATGTTACTTCTTCCCATATTGGTCTATGAGTTAAATGCAATCTCAATCAAAATCTCAGCAAGTTATTTTATGGATACCAACAAACTGATTCTAAAGTTTATATGAAAAGTCAAAGACCCAGAACAGCCAACACAGTATTCAAGGATAAGAACAAAGTTGAAGGATTTACTGTGTCAAGACTTGCTATGAAGCTTCAGTAATAGAGACAGTTTGGTATTGAGTAAAAAACAGACAAATAGACCAGTGGAACCGAATTGAGAGCCCAGAATCAGATGGACATAATGTAGTTAACTGATCTTTGAGCCAAGTCAAAGGAGAAAAGATTCCAAAAATGATGTAGGAATAACTGGACATCCCTGTGCAAATATATAACTTCAAACACAGACCTTACACTCCTCAAAAAAATTAACTCAAGGGCCGGGGATTTAGACCTTAATGGATTTTTCACCAGAGAAGATATATAGATGGCAAATAAGGATATGAAAAGACATTCTACATCGTACATCATGAAGAAATTTCAAATTAAATCAACACTGAGATACTGCTACACATCTACTAGAATGGTCACAATCTAGAAAATGGACAGGACCAAAGCCTGATATGAGGATGCAGAGTGACAAGAACTCTTATTTATTGCTGGTGGAAATTCAAAGTTGTACAGTCCACTGGAAGGTGGTTTGGCCTTATAAAACAAAACACTCAATATACCATCCAACATAGGCTACCTGGTATTTACCCAAAGAAGATGAATATGTTCATATAAAAAATCTGCATGCACATGTTTGTAGCAGACTTATTCATAATTGCCAAAACTTGGAAGCAAAGATGTACTTCAGTGGGTAAATGGATAAACTCATGGTACATACATCAAAGGAATATCATTCAGCACTAAAAAGAAACTAGCTACCAAGCCATGAAAGGACAAAGAAAAATTGATAGACATATTACTAGGTGAAAAAGCCAATCTGAAGATACTATATGATTCCAACTAAATGATAACACAGATCCATGAGTTTGGGGAGGTCTCTCATGGCACAGATGAATAAGCCATCCCTTCAATTAGAGATGAAGCAGCTGAGTAATAGAGGAGAATAAGTGAATTAGTCAAGAATGTATAGCTCGTCAATACTGGCACCAGTCTCTTGGCTCCCAGTCCAACAAATTTCTGAAATGTTCTGCTGTTCAAAAGGAATCTTCATTTAGTTACTTTTTGGCATCTTAATTTTCATATCTTGTGTATTAGTCAATGCTGATAAAAATCCCTTTCTCATCACACTAAAATAAATAAAAATTCAAGTGAAATAAAAATGATTTTGCAGAATTGTGATTATGTTAGCATTTACTGTACAAAAAAATTATGATTGGATTTATAGGAAATAAATTCAATCCTATCCCTACCCCTTTGGGAAGAATGTTTCAAACATCATCTACTCCTAGCCCTTTAGGGAGAGTGTTTCAAAAATCACATACCTGTAATCCTCAGGAAGTCAAGGCAAAAAGATCTCAAGTTCAAGGCCAGCCTTAGCAACTTAGGCAGATTCTGCTCAAAAATAAAAGGCTGCGGATGTAGCTCAGTAGTGGAGCACTTGCCTAGTGTGCATGAGGTCCTGGTTTTAATCGTCAGCACACACACACCCACAAAAAAAAACACCATTCAATGGATTCTCTTTGATCTCTTGTCATCTTTATTCTTTCTAAATTCTACTCAGAAGCAATATTTTTAAAAATCTCATGTCATTCTCTTTCTTGTAAATTGTTTTTTCTTTGACGAAGTTCTTCTTCAAGTAATGTGTCAGTATATGTGTTAGTTGGGAAATGCTATGAATCTTTGGATGTTCAAAAATGTATCCACCTTGCCTTTACACATGAGTAATAAATTGTTTTGTTGAGATGTTGCTAGGTTTTTTTCCTCCCCCACCCAGTACCAGGGATCGAACTCAGGACGTTGTGCTTGCCAGGCAGGCCTGGCGCTGCTGAGCTACATCCCCAGCAGAGCATTGGTTTCAGAATCACAGTCTTTACAGCTTTGAAACCACTACTCCATTGTCTTCTAGTCTCCAGTCTTACTAATGAGAATTGTCATGTGAGCCAGTCTTATTCCATTATTTTTGTCTGTTTTTGTGATCTTATTTGCTGTTGTCTGTACAGATTTAGATTGTACCTTGTTGTCTTCATTGGGCATCTTTGTTAGGTTACCTTCAAGTTTGGCCTCTTTTTCAAATGAGATTGAAATCTTTAAGTATGTGGCTGTTAAGAGCCTGTTGTTAAGTACATATGCTCAAAATTTCCTCCAAGCTGTAGTCCCTGCTACAAGAACTGGGACAGATCTTTAAGAGGTCCCTGAGAGCATCAGTACTTTACCAGGATTCATCAGCAATGCCAGCCTTCATAGTAGAATGTCCCTAAAAAAAAAATCTTTGTGAAATTTTATTCTAGTGAAATGCAACTTCATCTTACTTAAATTGCTTTATTCCACAGAGCAAATAAGATCTGTTCTCTTAAAGTATCTCTTGGGAGTCCTACCATTATGGGATATGCATCAC